ATGTGTTTAAAACAGCCTCAAGTTGACAACAACAATAACCTGCGTTCACTTCCTTCCTTCCTCTGCTCCCAGTGATTTTAAGCCTCTTTTTTGTTTGTTTGTTTGGAAATCAATAGTGGCAAAATTCCTAAAAAACCCTGGGTGAGCACCAGGAGCTTCCAGCACAGACCCCAACCCGCCCGGATCAACTAAATGCTATGGCTCTTAAAACCTCAGAAGGTTTTTTTTTTTCCCCTGTTTTTCAGAGATGACTCTGCCAAGCGCAGGGCACGGCTCAATTAACGAAGTGGCTTAATCCAGCGGGGTGATAAATAACAGAGGAGAGAACAGGTCATTGCAATTCACTTGAGTAACCAGAATCCCTACCCGTCGCTTGGGTTTTTTCCAACTCCTTTTGCCCTGCATCAAGTGACAGATTTTAATTGCCTATTCCCAAACAGTCCGACCGCAGCCGCTCTGCGCGGGCAAGGACTGAGCCGACGAGATTTACCGATATCTGGAGCTTTGCAATTAGGGAAGAGAGACTTTCCCGAGCTCCTGCTCCAGACATGGCACCCCAACACACCTCCCCGTGCACCCCAGCCCTCTCCAAGGGCTATTTACCGCCCTCATTTTCTCCTAAAACCACCAGAAAATACTAATGTAAATCTACATTTTCTCTTTTCCAAGCTCTCCTTGCTGCTGGGAGGAGGGAAGGCATTTCCCTCTCCGCCCCACGAATGGTTGAAGAACTTCTACCAGCATCCTACAAACAGAACGGGGCCAGACTAATGCAAATTCACAGAAATGCCCCAAAAATTCAGCGAAACCCTAGACAGGCCACAGAAATCCGCTTTTCCCTGCCCTCTGGCAGCACGAAGCCACGGGAGGTTTGTCCCAAAGGATGGAGCTGGCAAACCCTCGCCCGAGGCACAGCTCCTCCTTCCTTCCTCCCCCCACGAGCAGCCCATTGGGAAAGCCAGTGCCTCAAGAAAACTTTATTTTTAAGACATTGCCTTAAAACTCACATTAAAAAAAAAAAAAAAATCTGCTTTGCAAAAAAATAAGTAATGGTTTTAAAGCCGTGTTGTTAGAAAAGAAAAGAGAAACAAACGCCGTCAGGGGCGGAGGAACGACGGGGAGCAACAGGTTAAAAATGCAGGGGAAAGGGTTTCAATAAGGGAAAAAAATTGCAAAATTAATATACGTGGAGAGGAAGGGGCAGCAGAGGTTGGATGAAGGAGGGCATTGAGGAGGCACGGGAGGGCGAGGAGCGAGTCCCGTCCCACCCCGCGCTGCCAAACCCGACCCCCATCAACTGGCAGGAGCTCAAAGAAGAGCCATAAAAATAATGAGAGGGCTGGAAGAGCTGACACGCAGGAAGATTAAAAGGAACTATATACGTATAGCTTGGCTCGGTGACAAAAGCCAAGGGGAAAGGGAAGGCAACAGCCGGAGATATCCGTGATTCCTGACCATCCCGGGGGGATAAGACATGGGGGCTGAGCCCCCCTGGGGGAGCAGCATCCCCGCTCCCCCCCGCCAGGGCCGGCGCTGCGGCCGCTGCATTCCTTCCCTCTAATACAATCCCTAATTTAACAAGTGGAGAGGATCCGGGCAAACGCATTTAGGGGAAGGGGGGGGGG